AGCCACTGCGTTTATTGAAACGCTTCAAGTACCTGTGCCGTGGCTGTGCCAGGCTGGGCCTGTGGCCCTGGCAGTGCCACGTCAAAAATTCCCCACATATTCAACGTCAAGCAATTGATACACCGAAAGATTTCAAAATTATCATAGACATATGCCGATGATATGGCCCGTCGGCAGCAAAAAATGCGAGAACCGAACAATTTATATCCTAATATCAAGCCAAACGATCACCTGTTTTTAGTTAGTACCACGAGATTTGAGACACGAGATTCCTCTGCTTGATGACGGCGGAAGTGACCTCAGAGGGTACTTCCGCAGCTGCGCAGTGCGGAATTGACCCAGCGAGACCTTCACGTGCAACATGGCCTCGTCGATGCTGAGAACGGCAGGAATTATACGTGTTTTACCGGCTCTTCAGAGGAGTATCCATCATAATTTCGCTGTTATTGGGAATACTGCTAGAATATTGGCCCCAGCATCAGGAAATTCAAATAATCTTTTAAAAAATACAAGGTACTACTACAAGTTGTCACGTGCAAGACTGTCAGAGACAGAGACTCGGAGTGTCACTGACACTGACACTGACAGTGACACTGTCACTTACACTATCACTCAGTACAGTACGCAGTCACAGACTCACTCAGCTGACGACATGGCTTGTACTTCACAACTTGTGAAGTGCAGTTCATGTGCAGTGTCTTACATTACAACTCTTAGCCCCAATTTGTTCTTTGTAAATTTTTATAATCTGAGGCTATTCGGTATTCCATCACCCAATATTGGCATTTGGCAATAATACTAATACTAATAGTCAATGGTGAATGGACAATAGATATACATATAGATGTGTCAGTGACAATGACAATGTACAATGATAATCATAAAGAAATTATTTCATAAGTAACTGCACAATCAAGAAGAATATATAGTGAAACATTGTCTCACCTAATAGCGGACATTTTAGTGATTGGTACTCCAGTATAGAAACAAGTGGTATCATCATGTAACCACGTCAACACGGTGTAAACAATCAGATTTCAATCGTTGTATATTTTTGTGAAAATAACGATGTACGAGTGTTGTAAGAAATGTTTGCTATACTTTAGACACTTGCTGTTATGCAAAAAAATAAGTACTGTAGTGGTCAGAAAAACATGAGAACGGCCAGGAAGACTGCATGTTTAAAGTAATTACTTAATAAAAGATAAAAACAGCATTGAGGCATAACTCTGATTATAGCATAGAGCCCATAGACGTATATCTGGGACTACATATTAATGTACATATATATATTCGCAGCTGCCTTTCAACACAGAATGCTCTGAATGAGGCAAAGGCAACGCCCACTGGTCAGTCGGGCCGGAGCAAGCTAACTGGTCTGTCACTGGACAAGGCTTTATATCGGCTTGACCTGAATGTGAAGCGCACTGGAAGGATTGCCAAAGTAGATGTCTTAGAAATACTGAATGAGGTTAAGCGGCTAGGTAAATCGAATGTTTTTCCCCGGGTATATATACTAGTTGTTTATTTTGAAAGGTCACGTGTTTGTGTATGTTAAATTCTCCACAGCAACGAATTAGCATCAGTGCCTGGGTGCCAGTCACAGAGCCTAATAATAGAGAGCAAACGTGACCAATCGGAATTATATTGTAGTCGGGAAATCTGCCTGCTTACAATATAAAAATGATATAACACATTTTAACAACATAAATTTTATATTTAAATTTAGCTAGCATACCAGTGCAACCTTGTATAATGAATCCTACAACTGGTATGTGAGATACACATAAGTGCAGATTGATGCGCACACAAACACAGTCAGACACGCACACATACGCGCACACAGGCAGGCACGCACACATCCACGCACACACGCAGGCATGCAGCTACGCACGTACGCACGCACGCAGACACCCCTATGCACGCACGCAGACACCCCTATGCACGTACACACACATTGCCAGAGGAGCTACCGCAAGATAGAACCAATCTAGTCAATACCATCTGGAAAACATTAGAAGAAATAGGTGTGTAGGTTTTACTGGAAATATTATTTATTTATCGTTTTTATGTTGTGCTACTTGTCTAGTCTATACCATCTGGAAAACATTCGAATAAATAGCCGTGTAAGTTTTACTGGAAATATTATTTATCTATCATTTAATTTTGTGTTACTTGTTGGCATATTTCATTTTGCCTGATAAAGATTTTCGGCCAGCTAGTTTTAATTAGAATCCAAAGGTAGATGATTGTGTGTGGTGATACACGTTGTTATTATTAACCAATTTAAATTATAACCAATCAGTGTTTTTCTTTCATTTTAATTATTAATACTATTGATATGAGTATTCAAACTAAAATTAAGCAATTGTCGGTGAAGTCGAATCCATATCGTAGTTAATTAGGAAAGTTAGTGGAAATGTCATCCATTCACGTCAAGTTTATATATATTTACAGAATTATTGTATTTAGATAATTTAATGTTTTTAATATCATAAATAATATCAACAGTTTTAATATCATAGATTCTTTAGTTTTATCCTTATCGTTTGTCTCTTATATTTGGAAGGTTCTCCCCTGGACATAAGCCACTTCAATGCTCTTTTAAGAGTATACCTGGCAAATAAGCACAAGTTCTCATCTAGTGATTTTCTAGCGAAACTTGCCGTAAAAGAGTTGGAACCAAATAGAGTAAGTGCTAGCAGTGACTGTCGCTGAATGTTTTATTTACTTAGAAACAGCAATCCTGTGGTAGCTATATCTATAGACACATCTTTTAATGCTCTTTAACTTTAAATGCAAACATAAATATAAGGAAAGTATTGTATAGATATGTTTATGATATTCTATAGCAGGGGTTCTTAACCTGTGGTCCACGGACTCGTTTGGTGTCCACCGTTCGTGGATGGACTTCAGGGGGTTCGTGAACCAGGCGCATGCAAAATTTTGTGTTAATGTGCTTATCTGCATTTTTCTGGGGAGGGGTCTGTAGCTTTCGCCAGATTCTCAAAGGGGTCCATGACTCAAAAAGGTTAAGAGCCACTGTTCTATAGATATATTCAGTCTGATTATAATATATAACATGTGAGCAATGCACCTCCTTTCATTTATATGTTGTTATTCTGTACAGGTGACCTTTCAAAGACTGATATCATGCTACTGTGCAGATGGGGACATTGATGGTGCTGGGTAAGCTATGGCTCACGCCAGGGAATAAAATACACGGGAGCGACGAGCGATTTCGCTCTGGTAAGCTCTAAAATCGCTCTGGTAAGAACAATGACGGGAGCGATCGCCCGAGATAAAAACGCTCCGGTGGCCTGATAAATTGAAATGTACAAAATTACGTACATACAGCTGTACACACACTGCAGTACACTGCAGACGTATTGTCTAGAGACTCTAGACGCATTGTCTGGCTCGCTTGATACAATCATGATACAATGTATACACATGTTCACAATTATGATCAACATCGGCCACGCTTGCGCTTGCAAATATGCTATGCCTGCTGTATAAAAACGCTAGCGCGTGACATAGTAAATTAGTAACTAAGGGCGCGCGCTCGCGCTCTCGCACTCGCTCAGATGCGCTGCCGTATAAAGTTGATAACTCAACAACCACTATCCCGATTATGACGATTTTTTTTTTACTATCCCGGCGGTATACCAAGCATTGAAATCTGGTATCCCGCACAAGAATCTGGTATCCCGCGGATATCGGGATACCGCTAATTTCGACCCCTGGGATGTCGCAAACATTTTTGTTGACAGAAATAAAAAAAACCACAAATAGCATTTCGCAGTTTTATTTATAATTTGTTTAAACATAATACACCTAAATATTTATTTTTCCTATATTATATCTTCTATATACTATATAGCTAGCACAAAACAAAACAGAAACTGTTTGGGCACCACTTTTTGCACAATACACAAATGACGATGACATCGACCATAGCAACCGAGAGACGCCAGTGTTCTAGACTGAATACACGCATGGTCGTAGCTCAGGCAATCGATGAATTGAACACGATTCGAACATGGAGCGCTTTCTTGTGAAGCGACACACGTCTGAAGACCGTGGATCCATTGAATCGTCCTCTGCGTCGTCTTCCACTACTACTACGAGTGCTTTGACAGCGGGCACGGCTTCCCGACCAATTCCTCCAGCCAAGAAAAAACGAAAACCCGTGCAGAATGAAGCTACGATTCGCTCCTGGAACCTCGACTGGTTGGGGGTGAATCGTGGCAGTGGCGGTCTGCAGGTGTTCTGCAAGGCATGCCGCACTGTTCCACTACCGGGAAGCTTACGAGGCGCAGTCTCCAGTGACCCGTTCGTGGTGGGCAGTGCGCATATAAAAAAGCACTCGGCAATGAGGCACAGCCAGAGTGTATCTCACAAAGCTGCATATGGTAACTAAGTTCACCTAAGTTCAAGTTGTGATTATTAAATATTAATTGTAGATCTAGTGTTTGGTACACATTTAGATTCTACTTCCATAGTCCATACATACATGTAACTCAGAACTTCAGAAGTTTGTTATGAAGAAAGAAATCGGTTCAAATTAGTCTACTAATGAAAGGATAGCTGAAAGCTTATCCTACAAAAGTATAATTCATTGCATGCGATTGCGGTAGGCCTATGATTTTTTTTCTTTCACGGTTTACTTAATGACCTAAGAAGTGTCAAGTTACCAGTAAGCTACTACTACTACTAGACTAGAGGGAGACAATTCAGACAAGTGATTTTTTTTATTATATTCATGATACAGAAGCATGGAAGGAGGACACAATATCCAAAGAACCCATCGTAAAAGCCATCTTAAAGATGGACGAACAGGTCCATTCCAAGATGGTGAAACTGTTCGACATATCTTACCACCTCGCGAAGCACGAGCTGCCTTTTGCGTACTTCACTTCTCTGATTAAATTGGAAAAAAGGCACGGGGTGGAACTTGGTGACTCGTATATGAATCCTGTGCAGGCCCAAGTTTTCACAGGGTTTCTTGCCACAGAGATCCGAAGCATGGGAGATGGAGCAATAAGGAACTCCCGCTACATCAGTGTGCTCATAGATGGCAGCACTGACAGAAGCACCGTGGAAAACGAAATAATGTATGTGAAG